ATTTTTTTATTTTCTTTAGTGCGGTACATTTACTTTTTATTTAACCTCCTTTTAATTTAAAACATTCAATAGATAAATATGAATATTTATGATTTTGTTCGGCAGGACCGATATATGTAGGATACGTCAACCCATAAAACCACATAAAACATTTTTGGATGGAGAATTGAGAAATACCAGAATTTGGTCATTTCGATTGAAAAATTAATTTATATTGAGGATTGTTTTGACAGATGCTATTTCAAAACGTATACCAATATGTCCGAAACATCGAAGACCTCGATTTTTTCCATAGAACAAAATGTTAAGGATTTCAAAATTAATTTCTTATACAAAAAATATAATTTATAGAAACAAATTTTCAGGTCCTCGGGACTGATTTTTTTAAGAAAAATAAATATCTCAGGATTGCAGAACCCATTTTTTACTATCGAAAAATATTCGTAGGACCTCGGGATAGATTTTTTTCCACAGAAAAATACATTTCTCAAGATTTTAGAACCGATTTTTACTATGGGAAAAATGCACAGGAACTATGTGCTGATTTTTTACTATTGAAAACAAATCCAAAGACTTCTTTCTTATAGAAAGACATTTCCATGAACTCGTAATATAAATTTACAGCCACTTCCATAGGAGGATAAACTTGAAATTTCCGAATATGGAGCAGTAACATTGTAAAGTAATAGGAAACAAATTTATTCAATAGGAAACTTTCTAGATACAGCTGCAATGTATGTACACAATTTCAAAGCTCTATATTAAAAAAATTGTGAGCAATATCGTAATTTAAAATTACGAACGGTCATTCCTAAACGACATAGAATTAAATTCTGACCGGTGGTATACCCATTATGGGGACTCTGTAGTATTCAGTACATGTTGTAGGTGGTGCAGGTGTCATTGAATAAAAGATAAAATAATTCCTATAAATATATCTTCCGCTATTTTTATTCGTTCATATATTATTTTACTATATTTTAATAAATTATGTTTGATATCAATGCTCATACGCCTCATTGTACATAAGTAGTATGCAATTAATGTCAGATTTCCATCATTTATTGTCATAAATACTTAAATATTTTTCATTTTTCATTATAATATTACTCACAAATAAAAAAATCGCTAAATTGACCACACTGCCGAGTTAACTCATTCATTTGTTTACATTTTGTGTGTTCTCTGTTTACTTTAACGAATATACTCTCAATTAACTTGGTCTCTTGCTATATTCTCTGTTATTATTGCTACTCAGTGCATAACAACACGGACAACTTCATAATTTTAACGGTACTCCAACTCAGACATCTCTCTCATTGTTATTATCTCTTCTAGTAATATAGCTCTCTGTTATATTAACACGTCCTTTGTATTTGTTTTGTTGACGAGTGCCAGCAGAGTTAAATGTTGTCTTTACACAAAAACAAAAAAGAAAAATAGATATGAGGTCGTTTTATAAATAGTCCAAATTTTTAGATATACAAACAAACCGGCAATATATACAACCACCCAGCCAGGCAGCCATGCGGCTAGCCAGCCAACCAACCAGACTGTCAAACAGCCAGTCAGCCATTCAAGGCAGCCCCCATAGTGTTAGACCATTGCCCGTTGTCTGTTTTGGTCCCAGCACGCCACTATATTTTCGTCTTTGCTCTTTTTTGTTGCATTTTGATACGCAGCACAAATTCCACACAGTCGCATACGCACACACAAACATAAAGACAAGGAATTCTTGACAAATTCACTTTCGTCTTCGAACAACCACAACAAAGACGATGTCGTCGACATACTTTTCCTGGTTTGTTCTAACATGACTTTTCCTTTCGTTGTTGTTGTTGCTTTTGTTGTTACTGATGATGTTTGTGTCATTGTATTTTTGGCGCTTTCTACAAATTGCTGTGTACCCCATTCTTATTTTAGGATGAGTGCAGTGTGAAGAGAGTGGAGTGATGTATGTGATATGTAAATTTCTTTGCAATAATTTGGATGTTGTTGTTGCTATATGTGAATATGAAATGCATCATTAGTAGCGTAAACGATAATTTAAACATTTGTCGGAACACAATGTTTGCAGCCAATAATACGAATAGCAACAGCAAAAACAAATAATTTTTTTTTAATATTTAAAAACTCATAGAAAAAATGCACAGCCCCAGTGCTGATTTTTATTAAAATGAATTAAGTTTAGTTTTTTAAATCATATATTATTAAAACCATTTATTATTCTCATTTTTTCAGGAAATTCTAGAAAAAAAAAATGTTTATTTGTTCTTCAATTTAAAAAAATATATATTAAAATCAACAACAAATTTATTATTATTTTTAATGTATATATTGGAGAACATTGCTTATTGTTCCTTCCAAAATTTATTCCAATTACCATTATTCGCCACAACATAAAAACATTGTCGAAAAAATTATGTTAATTGTTTCCCAATGCCCATGGCGTTCATTTTCAAAATCATTACTGCCACTGTTCAAAAATAAAAATTGAAAAACTTTAGCTATTGTTAAAATTTTACATTTTTATTTAATTACTTTGCCCTGACAGACTTACACACAAAATTTATCCCTTATAAATATTCAAGGTTGTATCCTTTTCTATTGTTTATTATTCTCCTTACCGTTAGAACAAAAAAAAGCAAATGAATCCCTACTCCTGTACTGTTGTTGTTGAAGGGAACACAAATAAAATAATTAAATAGATAGCTATAACACAAGAGAGAAAGAGAGTAAAGCAAAAACAACCCAACAGAATTATTAAAATGTAAATTATCCTGAAAATTTGTTTATTATTTTATGAATCCCCAGCATTTCAATGGCATTCTTAATTGTAACACTAAATTTTATTTAAGGTGTTTCTCAGGAATTTTCTTCCCCATTCATTCTATTAATCACTCTTAATTACCTATTAAAGTAATAAAAACAACAACTAAACACACAATTGTACACACACACAAACTTATACACACATTAACTGTCTCACTCTCTTTATGGGATTCATAATTAACCCAATAATTTGAGTCACTCACAATGACATTTCCTAAAGCAGTATTACCAGAGATAAACAGTTGACATTTCCACCTATACGAATGAATATCCCGGTGTGTATGTGTGTATGCTGTGTTACATTGAAACTACTTATACATATACTAACTGGTTAACTGTATGACTGGCATTGACATGTCCCACCAACATTGTCTACAAATGTTATCAAACAAAACACATGTCCAACAACAAAGTTTGGTAACTAAGGAAAAAAAAAAGAAACCCAAAAAAATAATAACAAACCCTCTCTAACCCACAAAAATTAAAGAGAATGAGAAGTTTAGAGTAAAGTTTGTGGTTTTTTCTTGGATGAAGAATGATGAAGTGAACATAATATTAATTAAATTCTATAGATAATAACAAAGTTAAACAACCCCCAGGTTTATTTGATTATAAAGAAACTAATTCATATATATTTTCTATAGAAAAAAAATCGCAGGACTTCAGCACCATTTTTATAGGAATCACACTACTATAAAAAATCAGAGGACGTTTTCCTTTAAAAATTAACAGGACTATTTTTGTCTATCACAGGGCAATTTTTAATATAAAAAATCGCAGTACTATTTTTTATATATAGAAGACAGGAAAAATATTTTTTATAAAACGACTATTTTTCTATAGAAAAAAACTCACAAGACTATTTTACTATAGGAAAAAATATTTTTTGTGGAAAAAATTCAAAAAAAAATGACAAAAAAATTGTCATGTGATTTTTTATAGAAACATCTAATTAACAAATTAACATCTAATTAACAGGATTATTATTTTTTCTATTAATTAAATAATATTTTTTATAGAAAAAATTCACAAAAAATATTTTTTCTATAGAAAAATATAGATTTTCTATAAACAAATTCACAGGAATATTTTTCTTTTATTTAAACTTCACAAAAACTCTACACTATTTTTTATAGAAAAATTCACAGGACTTTTTTTCTCTCTATAAAATATATGAATATTTTTCTATAAAAAAGAAAATAGAGTCCTTTTATGACAATGAAGGTGGAATTTCACAATCGTACGAAAAATTCTACAGAAAGATGACGAATAAGTTTCGGTATGTTTCATATTTTATGATCCTTTGTCCATTTTGGCAGCAATTCTGACCTGCTGAGGAAATTTTAAAATTTCGGAAATTGTTCGAGAAGGGCTATTTTGGATATAGAATAAATTCAAATGGCTATTGAAAAAATTCAAAGGACTATTTTTTTATAAAAAATTCACAGTATTTCACAAAAATATTTTTCTATAGAAAAATATACAAAATGACGATTTCGTAAAATAGAAGAAAATAAAGGACTATTTTTTTAATAGAAAAAAAAATTTACCGGTCTATTTTTTTATATCGAAAAAATTAGAGGTTTTTAATGTTTTTTTAATTTGCATTAAAAAATCATATTCTTTATCGTTGTGTAAAATGTATATATATATATATATATATCTTTAGTTCATTCTACTACAAAGAGAATATGTTATCATCAAAGAGAAGTTTTGCATTATGGCCGCATAGAGTTTAACATTATCTCTCTGTTATTAAAACTCAATTGCATTATTATTCTCTCTGTTATCGTTACAGTTATGGAATGCACTCTACAATAACATACATGTGAGTAATTGTTTGTTATTGTTATTTCTATTATAATACCTGTGAGGAGCGTGTGTGTGATAGTTTTCCTTTAGTAGGTCGTTATTTTATGTAAAGGAATTCAAATGTTGAATGTCTCTCGTTGCCCACACCGAAACTCCGTTTCAATGTATGCCAACTCTGTAAAAAAATGTCATGGTAATATTACAAAAGTTGTTTATTTTCTCTTCAAACATTTTGTTTCATGGAACTACGTTTTCATTGAAGTTTTCATTTTACAATCAATCTTAGTAAATTTTCATTAAAAAAGTTTGTGTCTTGTGGTTAATTTGAAAGATTTTGTAAAAGTCCCTGCACCGCCATGTCCTCCCTTGTCGAGGATAATCAAATAATGGACAACAGCAATATATCGCCACAGCCGCCGTCCATCAATACCGTCGGTTTACGACCCAAACACATTTACGGATTGCGTACCAATGTTGTGGGCAACATACATTTTAATTTGCAACAAGAGGTCATTTATCCGGTCGAAGGTGTATTGGCCTTTCACGATTTCGTTGAGAATAAACAGCGTTTCTTAAGGTAAGATATGTGGTTGTGCTGATGGAGTGTTTGTTTGTGTGTGTTGTGAAATAAAGGAATGCCGAGGATATTGAGGAATTTTTATTGTTCTTTTGTCGTTATCGATATTATTATTACAGACTGCCCGAGGATACGATACCCTTAATTATACAAATAAGTCCGCATCGTAAGCTTTTGGCAATTTTGGAAAAAGCAAAACCGTGAGTTTTCTTTAAGATATATGAGTTTATTTGTGTTCCAATAATTTTGCAACATTCCCTTTCTCCACCTCCCCCCAAAAAATAGTAAATCAGGCAATGGTAAAAATAATGGCAGCAAAAGCATTTCCATTTATGATTTGCACACTCTGAAAAAACGTCGGACATTGGAACTACCCAATGGTTCAAAACATGCTGAAATTTCGCAAATACTTTTTACCGGTGACTCCAAGGCTCTGACATTGCTTACCAAAGGACCAGATGAAATGATCTATATGATATTAATGGATAAACTGGGCACTGTCTATGAGGGCAGAGCATGTCCGACAAATGGTCGTTTTACTGCCGAGTGTCTTGCCTGCAATCCTCAAGATACCAGCCTCTTGGCTGTGGGTGGCAATAATCTACTGACATTGCAAACTAAATCGGATAAGGGTTTCAATATAACCAATAATTTAAAATCCAATTTCCTTTGTACCTCTATGGCATTTTTGGCCATGGATCTGCTAATGGTGGGTACAAGTTCCGATGAATTAATTCTCGTCGAAAATGGTGAATATAAACTGAGGCAAAAGGCCAGTGATGCAGAAGTCTTTGATTTACTCATGGATCAGGAAACATTTGATCGCGAGCAAGAACAACGACCACAAAACAATGCCAACGCGAATAGTAAACTTTACGATAGTAGGGTTGTTTGCATGACAGCATTTGCCAAGGGGTTTGCCTTTGCCATTTTCAATAGAGTCTATGTTTTCGAACGGGTATCGAAATTTAAATTTGAACGTAAAACTATACTGACCATACCCATCACCATCTATGCTGAGCATTTGTATCAGATCACCAATCTAGCGGTGGATAGTAAACAGGAAACGGTGATAGTAACTGCCGAACATTCACAAATCTATGTCGGAATTTTAATTGTACCCGAAACTTTGAAGGCGAAGCATTTGCAATTTCAGCCATTGGGTGCTCTCATTCACATCGATGATATTGTGGATATATCGCTGTGTTCCTGGAAACCCATCATAATGACGGCGTGTAAGTTTTTTTGCGAGATACCACAATTTTATGCATGTTAATCTTTGTTTGTATGTAGCCCGCGATCAAACAGTTCGCATTTGGAATTATGAAACCGAAAAAGTTGAATTGGTCCGTAAATTTCAAGTCGATGTCAATATTGTGGAATTGAATTCGACGGGTCTTATTGCGGCCATTGGGTTCTCGGATCAATTGCGTATAACTCAAATTTTTATGGAAGAATTAAATGTGAGTATAAAGAATTATTACATACTTCGCCCTCTTGGAGATAAAGTTTCAGATAGTTCTTTATAACCTTTAACAAAAAGTGGAGGCTTAGTGGTTTTTTATAAGGCACTTTGCAACTTCGCGACAAATTTGATGGAAAAAGTTGAACATATATTATATATTGAAAACTAGATCCCTCCTATTATATATTCAAAAAGTCCTCTCCCTCTGTTGAGTTCAGTTAATTTTGCTAGGGATTTGAATCCTGGTTACATCTGTACCCATTAATAATTACTTGGTTTTAACTCACGTTCTTCTCTATGCCCATCAACTGATTCCACAGATTGTAAAAACCTATAACTTCCCACGCTGTAAAGATGTCAAGTACTCCAATTATGGACATTTAATGGCAGCTGCCTATAATAGCACCATTGCCATAACCTCAGTTTACAATCTGGAAATTCTAATAACGCTCAAGGGTCACAATGGCACCGTACTCTCAGTGGCCTGGACCAAAAATGACAAATATCTTATATCCGGTGGTAACGAGGGTGCCATTTATCAATGGGATGTTGACAATGGTAACCGACTGCAAGAAATCGTACAAAAAGGTACCGAATATGTTTCGGTATGTTCGACATTTAATGACCCTTTGTCCATATTTGCTGTCAACAATTCTGGTCTGCTGAGAGAATTTCAAAATTCAGAAATTGTCCGCGAAGTCAGTATACCGTCAAGCTCCAAGTGTCGTCTAACAGATGTTTGCTTGGCACGTTCCGATACCATTATGTTTGTGGCCAATGAAATGGGAGATTTGGTGAATGTCCAATTGCCATTTTTAGATGCCGGTGGAGGAACTTGCAGCAATTTTCGATTCTTTATGACCGCCGTTAACAAAGTACGTTTCTCCTACGACGGTACTCTACTGATGACTGTCTCCAAGGCTGGAACTTTGGCCATATGGGCTTTGGAAAATATTGAAGGCAAAGTGGCCAGTATGGATCAGGATCTGCTAAAGTCTCAAGAAGTTCTCATACCTCGTGCCATTTTGGCAGAGAAAAATGAACAAATTGTTAATCTGGAGACACGGCTAAAACAACAGGCCGAAGAATTCCAATATCAGTTGTCACAAAATGAAATATTCGATGGCCAACAAATGGCGGAAGTGCACCGTAGCTATTGTCAAGCACTGGAGGAACTGAAACGCATAAATGCCGAGGCTGAGGAACGCCATCGAGGTGAAATGAATCAAATCACCTTTCAAATTAATGAAATGAAAGAGGAGCACAAAAAGCAACTGGACAATCTAGCCACCCAATATTCGGAACGTATGCTTATCGAATATCAGAAATTCACAAATCTCCGAGAAAATATGCTCGAGTTAAGAGAGAGCTATGAGAATAAACTGAAAAAATCCGCTGGCACTCTACAAGACACCGTTGAGAGTTTGGAAAATGATTACAAGAAACAATTGGATGAACGACGTGAACTGATACGCGAACTTATGCAGGAAATGGAGGACAAAAAATCACAATTCACCGATTACTGTCAGCAGGTCGAAGAAGAGAACGAGCAGCGTTTGAGTGAAACCGTGAAGGAATACGAAAAGAAACTGCTCCAAGAAAGGGAGGCCACCGAATTATGGCGCGGCAAATCAGGAGTTTTACAGAAGAAATACGAAAGTCTCACCAAAGATGTCGACAACCTGCTGGAAGAAGTCGAAACTCTCAAGGAACAGCACACAAAGTCACAGAGGAATATTACCAAACTGAATCGCACCATTGAAGATCTGCAAAAAGATATATCGGATCGAGATTATGCCATCAACAACAAAGAGAAACGAATACAAGAGCTGTTGCATAAAAACCAGGAACTCGACAAATACAAACAGGTGCTTAATCATAAAATTGCCGAACTCAAAGCTCAAATCGAACCCCGAGAATTTCAAATTAACGACAAGCGTAAACACATTTTGGAATTGGAAAATGAATTGGCTGGGTTGAATCAAAACAACAGCCAGTTGGAATTGCAGCTCAAGGAATTGAAGGACAAGTACATCAGTACTGTGGCAGAACTTAAAGTGGAGCGACATCGGGCCAGGGCGGGTCGTGAGTGTGTCCAGAATTTGTGTAGTGAAATTTATCACGTGGCTGGTCTTATGAATACACCCGACAAACTAAAGGCGGCAGTCCGCGAACTCTTCCAACGTCATGCCAGCGATGATGAATTGAAACGTTTCATTTCGCTAGATGCCAATGTCCGAGATGAGTTCCAACGTCAGCGAAATCAAATCGAAAGGGTTTTGAAAATCTATAGTAAACGCGAAGAGGATAAGACCCAGAAACGTAAATATGATAAGCTATTCAAGGAAAATGTGGTACTGCTGGAAGAGATCGATAAAATGCGCGAAGAAAATAAGATGCTGCGAGCGCATTTGAAACGGGAAATGAGTACGAAGAAGAGTAAGAGTCGTTCTGCAGCATCCAATTTGAGACAGAAATCTGGTCCCATAAGATCGAGTGAGATGAGTGAGGCATTAAAGGACTACAGTGACCTTGACAATGGAGCAGTGGGTGGTGGAGAACTATAAACGAATTTGTATGTGCATTGCTTTTATTATTCAAATTAAAAATAATAAATAATTTTTTTCCATTCAGTTTGAAGTTGTTAACTTTTCATGCTTACTAATATTCATAGAAATCGGAGTAAGTCTAATTACACATACTAAATACTTAGTATTAATTATTTAGCCCTAAATTTTAATTAATTTTACTTAATAAGCCGCTGTACTGAATTTACAGCAAGAGTATTCTGATACATACACCTTACGTAATATAACATACGTTACGTTTGAATACTCATATTAATTGCTATGATTTTGTGATATCAATCCAAAGTGAATGCTGAATGTGTATCAATAACGAAGAAGCATTTATGGTTGACCAAAACACGATTTGAAACCCCTTTTAGTTTGCCGGTTATTTGTTTTGATTCCTGGCCTTTATCAATTACTTCCACATTCTCCTCTTTCTCTGTAATGAAATGTAACATTTCAGTGTGAGTGCTTCTACAAAAGTTGCAGTAAGAAGAAGAAATTCTCATTTCAAAGTGATTGGCCATGGAATAATGGACTAAAGAAGAAAATCATTATAATATCAATTAATTGACCACACAATAACATTACTAATTACCTAAATAATGCTGCCTGGAGTTGGTGTTTTCGGTACGGGTGCAATAACCAAAGTTTTGGTGCCCATTTTACGTGAGAAAGGCTTCGAGATAAAAGCTATCTGGGGTCGTACGTTGCGTGAAAGTGAGGAGGTGGCCACCTCCCTAAATATCTCATTCTACACAAACAAAATCGATGATGTTCTGCTGCGAAAGGATGTTGATCTGGTGTTCATTGTGTGTCAACCATATTTGCATGCCGAAATTTCGGTAAAGGCCTTGGGCATTGGAAAACACGTTGTTTGCGACAAACCGATGGGCCTCAACCAATCCGATGCCATGAAAATGGTACGTGCCTCGCAATATTACCCCACTTTGATATCCTTGGTAAATCATTCCCTGCGTTTTTTGCCTGCATTTACTCACATGAAACGTTGCCTTAACGAGGGATTGATTGGTCCTCTCAATGAAATATCCTTGGTGGATGTTAGAGTGCAATTGGGAAGTCTGTTCCCTGAGAAATTCGATTGGATGTGTGATGCAGCTATGGGTGGTGGGGCTTTGAACTTGGTCGGCAGTCATGTTGTCGACTTGGTCAGTTTTCTGATACATCAACATGCTGTACGTGTACATGGAGTTGTTAAGGCCTACACGAAGACAACCAACAATGTCAATGGCATACGTCAAATATCTGCTCCGGACTTTTGCAACTTTCAAATGGAACTCGCCAATGGCACACTTATCACCACATCAATACATAGTCACACAGTCCCGGCAAAAACATTCTCACAAGAAGTTCTTATTTGTGGTTCGCAGGGTCATCTAGTTGTTAGAGGTGGCGATTTATTCATATTCAAAAATAAAACAGATTCATCGCAGACCGCAAAGGAAGAAGCGGTCTACGTAGATGTACAAGATTTGCATATTGCCACATCAGACTCGTTGCTACCACGTCTCTACATCAAGGGCTTGTGCAAAATGATTGGTGCTCTTAAGGAATCTTTTGCTGTGAAAGAATCGTCATGGGTTAAGGAACCAGTTCAGGCCGCCGCAACGTTTGAAGATGGTCTCTATGTTCAGGCCGTCTTAGAAGCTGTTCGCAAATCAAGTGAAACAAAGTCATGGCAAAGAGTGCAAATCACTTCGGATACACCATCGAATCATGATCAAATGATGCGTGTTGCTCGTATGTCTACAATGTAAAAATATATGGTAGATTATCTCATGGTTCAAGGACGGCATTCTTCTTTATTTGTATGAGATTACCTTGGATCTCTAGTATTCCTTTTTGTACTTTATTATAATTGTATTGTTAAGTATATACAGACTATTATTCATTCTTTTAATTCTTCTATTTATTATCTGCAATCGTATATGGAAAATATCCATAAAACTATACAAATAAATATGTCTAGACCGCATTGGAAAAGTGTAAGTTTCGGTTGTTTGTACTTTTTTTTTCATTTCTAAACTCTGCGCTAAACAAAGATTCATTTTCAGGTAAGAAATCTGCATATACAAATGTTTACTTGATATGACAGAAGTATCTTGATAATATTTCCGAATGAGTCATTCGGTGAGAAATCTCTTCAACATATAAACAATGTTTGCCGGTAATGGTAAAATAGCAATAAGTAATACTGTATGCATTAATAATTTTGGCGATATTGTGATTTCTTTACACAGTAGTATCTCCATAATATTTTCAACCTGAAATAGCCCATCCCTCGTATTTATGTTTTTCATTTTCCTTTACTTATTTTACTCATTTTTTATTTATGACACAGATCACTCATTTGTTATAAATTACTAGATTATTGGTTAGCATAAATATTAGTAGAAAAATACATTTCTAGCAAAAAGAAAAAACATTTTCTATATTTACGTACACAAACATAGATTTGTAAATGACAGCCGTTGAAAAGGATATTTCGACACTAGGCTTCCACTAGTACCTTAGCTGGTTTTTCTTTGACTTTGCTAACATTTGCTTTTGCCGATTCCTCTTCGACGTCGCCAGCAACCTCTTCCACTTCGGGCAATTTATCACTTGGAACTTCAGGCAGTGAATCGGTGATTTTAGCATCTTCTTCCGCTTCTAATGCTTCCAACTCAGCCAAGACATCATCTTCATCTTGTTGTGTCAGGGCATCAGAAAGTATAGCATCGATTTCTTGTTGTTTTTCAATTCCATCGCGAGTCTCGTCCATGATCTTTTCGATTTCATTGATATCCAAAATTTCGTGCATTTTCTTCAAAGCAGCATTGCCCTGTTTCAAGCCATCCAGTACTTGCATTTCGACTTGGGCAAATTCTATATCTGCTGCCATTTTCTCCAAATTCTCCAGCTGCTTGTCTGTATTTGCCAACATAGTTTCTTGGTATTTCTTTTTGCGGAGCAACAATTTCGCTCGTCTGCAATTTCAAAGATAATCATTAAAAATTCTTCAAAATCGTAGATATCAGTAACTTACTCTTTCCGTCCCTGTGCCAGACATTTCTTTGCCAATTGTCTATCGTTTTCAAGCGATAATTCAATGCGTTTCTGATACTGCTTCAGTCGATCTCTTTGTTGTTTCAATTGCTGTAAAAATTGGGAAAATGTTAACACCCAGAAATACTTGAAAGAAAATCTAAATCACCCCGACTTACCAAAACAGCTTTGTCTTGTTCAGTTACACGACTTTGTTTTTTACTTTTCGTAAACAATCCTCCCATTGTGTTTGTTTGTGTTGTTGTATATTTTATTTATATTTAAAAAAATATTCTTTGAGACAAAAGATTTGTGTTGTTTGTTGCTAAAATACTCAAGTTCAAGTAATTTAGTACTCGGTAAGGCCAGCTGAGTCAAAATATTTTGCTACGAATAGGTGGAATGAATAATAAAAAACGAACTCAAAAGAAAATGACCGATAATCTGTTATTGTATAGAAAGAGGCATGGAAGAAGTGAAAATCAGCTGTGTCCTTTAGGGGTAGATAAGTCGACTTCTTGTATTGTCCGAAATTCGAAGTCGTTTTGAAATTAAAAGCAAAGTCAACCCTGTTAATCGAAGTTAAATGATTTCAGAAAAATTTTACTATATTTGTACCCAATAAACTAGTAAAATTTTTATGACAAAATATAATTAAACTTATTAAAAGAAGCGTCAACATCTAATGGACTGTTGATACTTCGAAGGATTGTCATCTAGGTTTCAAATCTTTACTTGATTTCCGTTCCCGTACGTTTTGTATTCATTATTGATTTAATAAAATATATCTTTCCCGAATACAAAAAATGTAATAAAGGAATTGCACATTTCTGTTTAAAACAATTTCAAATATGAATTAGTTCTTACCCATATTTCCATTCTAATAATATTGGACATTTCTATGTTTTAGCTTCCATATATTGATAGTGCCCCGATTTGTCGTTATTTCGAAAGAGCAATGCTAATTTCTTTCGATCTGTACAATAATATAATTGGACAATTTCAGTACATTGTCCATTTCCTGCAAGACCGACATAAATCAGAAAAATTGATTTTGCAGAAAATATGTTTTATGTTTTTAATCGACCCAACCCTACAAGCAACAGAGGAACTTCTGCACCTTCCCAATCTGAGGGTGTATGAGACATTGATCCAAATCATACACATATGTTTTGTAACGTTTATATTTTTAGGAGATGTATATTAAAATGTATTCATGATGTATTCATCTGCTGATCTTGTATAAAATGTATACAACGGCATGACGAGTGTATTGCATTAATGTTAACATTTGTATTATATTAACATTCTCTGCGAAATACAAATGTGTAATGAAAAGAACAACAACACGAATATATCAGACGTATACTGTAATCTACCAGATGTGTACGTATTTATCTGGAAGAGTTGACCGTTGTATTATTAGTTAAACATTACTCTATTTCGGTGGGGGAACATAGTTTGTTAATAACAAAAATGTTTAAAACATTAGTAAGTTTCAATCATTCAATTGGCCATAAGCTGACAAACTATACGACGCTATACAGAATGGTAAGTACCGAATAAAATATGGATACTTTTGTATTTATAAGTTTGTTTATATTTTTTCAGTCATCACAGCTGGTCAAAGTCCAAGTCAAACAGGGTATAGTTGTTGGTCAACAAAAACAATTACCAAATGGGAATTTATATCAAAGTTTTCAGGGTATTCCTTATGCTGTACCACCTGTTGGTCCACTGCGTTTTAAGGTAATTTTATTTATTATTTGTGAAACTTTTTTTCTGCTAAAGCAATTCTGTTTGCTATAGTCTCCATTGCCTTTGGAAAAATTCGATGTACCTGAATTAGATTGCCTGAAGGAACGTGATGTCTGTCATCAACGCGATGCTTTTACTGCGGAAATTATTGGCTCGGAAAATTGTCTTTTCCTCAATATTTATACACCAAAAAAGAATAATTCCTCTGGTCCCTTACCCGTTATGGTGTGGATACATGGTGGTGGTTTTTGGTTTGGTCATGGCAATAGTGATTAGTAAGTAAATATATTAACATTTATTATTATTTATTTGCCTTTCATCTGAGTGTGTTTTCTCGTTATACCCAGACACATATTATCAAACATAAATAATCAAAATTATCTCCATTAGATATTTCACAGCGATATAGCTAACGTTGAAAATTGTAAATATTAAGATAGTCTGAATAATGTGTTTTAGTTATTTACCATTATCACTGCTCCAGGAAGATGTTATAGTGGTCACTCTTAATTATCGATTGGGGGCTTTAGGATTCCTATGTCTGCCTGAAGAAGGCATTTGGGGCAATGCTGGCTTAAAAGATCAGGTATTTCCCGTTTTTCATAAGTGAATATTGATAATATTATAAACAAATACACTTGCAGCGTTTAGCCCTACAATGGATACAAGAAAATATAGTACAATTTAATGGAGATCCCAACAATGTTACATTGTTTGGCGAATCTGCCGGTGCAGCTTCAGTACACCTTCATATGTATTCTAATCATGCCAATAAATTATTTCACAAAACCATCATGCAAAGTGGTGCGGCTAATGCGGAATGGGTTTTCCAAGTAAATCCTGCCTATAAAGTTCGTAAGCTAGCCGAGGAGTTGGGACTGAAAAATACATCGGATACCAAAGAACTGCTACAGTTTCTTCAATCGCCACAAATAACACCCTTACATATGTTAGAAAAGACTCTTAAGACAATGACTGCCGATGAGAGAAGACGTCACTTACCACTGCCATTTAAGCCTGTAATCGAAGATTCCCAAAGCCCAGATGCCTTTATTGATCAACCCATTGTGGATAGACTGAAACAAGTGAATAGTGTAGAAATACCCAGTATTATGGGTTACAATTCCGCTGAAGGTTTGGGAATGATGATAAATGCGGTACGTAAAGTTGAGGAATATGATCGAGATTTCAAACGAATGGTTCCTCGCAACATTCCTTTGAGCCCAGACGACCCCGAGCTGGAAATTATAGCCCGCAAAATGAGAGATTTCTATATGAATGGTCATAAACTGTCACCCAAAGTGTTCAATGAATTGGTAAATATTTTAACCGATTATCATTTTGCCGTAGACATGCAGTTGGCTGCTGAGTGGCAAGTCCGTTTACAAGCCAACTCTCCATTGTATTTCTACTACTTCGATTATGTGGGAAGTCGTAATTTCTACAAGACAATGCTACAAATGAGCAAATTGAAAGGAGCTTCACATGGCGATGAACTGTTTTATCTATTCCAAATGGCGGGTAATGACGATATGGGCAGTCGAGAAGATCAACGAGTGACAAAGCAAATCTCTGAATTGTGGGCTAATTTTGCTAAAACTTCAAATCCTACACCTGAACCTGGTACTGTTGGCTGCAAGTGGTTGCCAGTAAAGAAACCAACTGGTGAACACGACTCGTTCAATTTGAATTACTTGTTAATAGATGATAAAGGATGTCGCATGCAGGAAAATCTTAACAAAGACCGTATGGAATTTTGGCGAAGCATTTATGAAAAATATTCCTCTCCTTTAGATTATTCAATAGTAAGTTCCAAATTGTAAATAAAAAAGACACACACGTGCACACTTTTGTTACATTTAATGAATTTGTATTCTGTTGGTTTGTTTTTTCTTTAATGTTTTATATATCTAATATATGTATAGGTATTGTTTTATTTAATTTAATTTATTTGACTAGTTTGGGGTTTTTTTCTTACATTCTTTTGTTTTAATGGTTCTTTAAAAGCTTTGTACAAATAATAAAAAACGCAAATAAACAAAAATTATTTGTTTATCTCTCTGTCTCTCCGTTTATACATAAACTTTCGTTCTCTAGAAATAAAAAATATTATTTTGCAAATAATATTTCCGTTTTTGCTCCCAATGCAAAAAATGTTTATGCGTTTTTGGGTGTTCTCCTTTTGTTTAACATAACTAAATTAGTTTTTGGGTTATCCGCTTAGATTATAAAATATATAGAATGAATCGGTTATAAATTATAAACAAATTACATTTAACTTGTCGCTTTGATTTTAGTAAAACTTATCCTAAATTTGTTTTTGTATCAACTAGTAATCTTATAAGCTATAAAATCATCATAATTTTTAAAGAGTTTTTATCTTCTTATTCACATCTTTGCATTTCTTCGTATCCATCGTATTTGTCACTGCTACCCACTAAATATATTTAGTTTTTTGATTATTGAGAATTTGAGTTGGGTGGGCGCACATACACACATAGCCTTTTGTAATGGCTTTCATCGTTTAAAAGCGTTTCAAAGCAAATGTCCTTTTTAAATATAGGCATATAGCTCTATGTATCAATTCGTACTGTTCGGAATTTTGTACCATACCACCCCGTTGTAATCGCAAATTGCAAACAATACCCAAGACATCAACGAAAATATTGGGCATTTTTGGCAGTTCTGCAACAGATGGCAGTCTCCATGTATCCTCCTCATATGCTCTTCTTTTTTCTTCTCCTTCTTCTTCGGCAATGGGAGACGACTCGTCAACGTCCTGATGGCTTTCATTCGTTACTGTTGACTGCCGCTGCTGTTGTTGTTGTTGTTGTCGTTCCTGCTCTTTAATTTTCTTTTCCATTTTCAAAATATAACGCATATACAGCAATGTGTTGCGTGTAAAACTGCAATCGATATCTGTAGGTATGGGAGCCTCCAGCAGTAGAACATCCTCCTCCAAAAATTGACGTGGCAACCGGAAATCTACGGGACTTAACGCCTGTGCTGAGGTGGCCTGTTTTGCCGCTTTGGCTGCCATTGAAGTCAGCGAGTAAGCCAAAGATTGCCTCACTTGTCGTATGCCATTCAAAATGGCTGTCATGCAACCCGTGCGACCAATGCCAGCTGAACAGTGTATGACTGGCAGTGGCTGCACTGCATTGAAGATGTCCTGTTGATACAATTCGGTGGACTGGGCATTAACATGGGAGGGAGGTGTTTCTTCGGCATCGCTGAAGACTTCAAACTCCGATTCACATTTTCCCAAGTTAGAGACATGTAGCGATATGTCCAGTAGCGTATTGATATCCCTTGGCGAACGATGATCGGGCCAATCCGGGTACCAGTAGTGATAGCAAACAAATTTGTTAATCAACAAATATGGAATGTTGACGACATCCGTGAAATTGGCACAATACAAAATCAGAATTTTCCTGATGGAAAAACCATTTTTCTTCACAATTCCCACGTTCTTCATAACAAAGAAGCTTTTACTGTTGGGCAAATGCGCCTTCAAGTCGTCGTCCACTTCCACTTTGTTACAGGCTATTTTTATTACTTTTACCGCTGTACCCTCCGTCTCGTCGATTTCGGTCTCCATAGCTTCTTCGCTTAGATATGGATTGATAAAGTCGGTGAACTTGTCACTGGCTTGGACCACTTCTTCTCGTGGGGTTGTAATGAAGATTTCATTTAATTCGACCGGAAAGTAAACTGAACATTTTTGTCGATTGTTTTCCATGAAATTTGTGAGCATTACTATTTTCTGATAATACTGTTGCAAGAGCTTGCCCTGGCGTCGACTAGGACTATCTGGACCTTTGGATATTTTGATATATTTCTTGGTATTCTGGTAGATCATAAGCCAAAACTCATAAATGGTATTGGGCAAAGGACCTTGGGTGGCTATGTAGCATTTGGAAGTGTAGTCGGGACCCTGTTGAAGAAAACAAAAGATAAGAAAAAATTGAAATATTTTGTTTTGAAATGGACATGATATCTCGAATTAAATTTTATATATTTAATTACACTCCACTTACTTTAATATAGTTGGCATTGATGTAGGGTACTTCCTCGGCAACTAACATAGATGGTTTTGTCAAGCCATCCATTAACGTTTCCTCGTCAACCTCTACATTACCGCCACAGCAGTTCTCCATCATTTCCATCAATAGCTTCGATTCCTTTTCCAAGATAACCCGTGAATTCTCATTGGGCAATATCGTCTTGTAACGATTTTTGGTCTGCGAACCAAAAACCATTGGCTTCTCCTGATGATTTAGTGGCAAATCCCAAAATTCCTTGTGCAAATTCAAAAACATACGTTTCTGTTCCTCTTCGTCGGGCTGTAGGGTCTGCAGAATGTCTCGAACTACTTGCATATATCGTTCTATAATTTCACAATCCTCCGAATTGGAAATCATGGCCGGTGGGGGTGTTTCTGCTTCCTTGCTTGACTGGTTGTGCGTTGACATCAGTATTGGAATACTTTGATCCGCTATTCCCTTGGACCGGGACGCATAACTGTTGTCGAATATATAATTGAGTTTGATTAGGTCGTTTTGATTAAGAGCATTGGAGGCATTTTGCAGCATTTGAATGTTCGCCAAATAGATTTTAAACTCTTCGCTTGTGGTCTGTGGGGAGAGGGGTTTTGTCATGATGTTGCGTATACTGGGACATGTGCATACAGAGGTCTCCTTGAAATCGAAATGTTCGGCTTGTGGATTGGTATTGTCATCGCGCAAATTGTGTGACGATCCTCTGTCTGGGCTGGGCTTGAGATCGTTTACCGAACCGAAACATAGCTGATTGGCATTTCGTTTGTGCGGTGGATTCAATTCGCCGAACTGGGAGCTATTGTTGCGATTCAAACTTTCGCTACTAAAGAAACGTCTCTGATGAGAATGGACAGAGCAGTTAGGCATCAGTGAAGAGTGGTGGTTGGTGGCTTTGATTTCTTCCTCTGCCTTTGCCGCATCCCCCAAATTAATGCTACTGTTGCCGAGAGCACCTCGCTCGCTGCCAATTCCTCCAAATGAGCTACTCATATTGAGGGTAAGACTTTGATTTGATCCCCTCCTTTCGAGCAGACCTCTTCGTGGTGTTGTGGTTAGCGAGGCATTTGCTATGGGTCTGGCCAAACTAGGCAGTTGTCCCGATCGTTCGACATTCAACGAATTCTGACTGGCAAATGAATTCAAATTGCCACAAGATAGATTCGTGAGAGTTAAACTTTGATTGGATCCTCGTCTACGGAAAAGACTCTGTCTTGCGCCTTGGCTGGTTACGGTTGCCGTTGTGTTGGTAGTTTGTGATGTTTGTGAAGTTGATATATTCAAATTACAACTGGATTTCGAGTTCAAGTTATTACTGGAATTTCCAACAGAGCCAAGACTGTAGTTGGACACCGATAGGCCGGACCGGCATGACCCCAGAAGGTTCGAATATGATTGCGAGTGAAGATTTAGTGTAAGACTGTGATTGGAGCCTCTTCTCTGAAGAAGATTGGTGGACGATGAAGAGTTCGGTGGTCTGCTTCCCGGTATCGATGCCACTGCCGTCGATGAGCTTGGCAAGTCCATGGACTTTTGTTTGTAGGGATGATCCGCACCCATGGCCGATGCCGAATTTGTTGAAAACTCCACCAAAGTTAGAAATTCCGGCAACGTCTTAAGATTTGTGTTTGAGTTATGCAGCAAAGGATTGTGTTTATATGGTGTTCTGAGAGCCGAGGATGGCGTGGATGTACAGGTGCTAGAGTTGGGAGTTTGCAATGCCGAGTAACTGTGGATCTGCTGTTGTTGTTGCTGCTCAGGGGACACCTCTTCATCTTCCTTCAAGATAACAACTAATTTTGCATCGTCACGTTTGTCTGTCAACTTCTTAGTGATCGGATCTGGTATGGCATGATGTAAAGTTGGATATTTCCGCTGGTGCAGATGCCAATCCACACTATTGGAGTTGGGTATTCGTCTGCGTATATTTTTATTCAATTTGGCACTACTGCCAGCGCCATGGCCAATTGTCAGCTGCGACATGGAGGTGGATCGAGTGTTGTTCGGGTGGTGGGGACGCAGGCGATCTTGAGATTGTATTTCTAAACGGTTAGAGCTTCCGGTTAAATTTGAATCGATTTCATCACAGCTTAGGTATAGTTCGGGTTTTATCATAAGAGTGGACTTGATGGCGGTGGTGGATTCCTTGGCCGTGTGGGCCGAGTCCAATGACAAAGCCTTTTCTTTGGTTGATTTAATGGTGGGTGTTTTCGGTTTGTTGCTCGAATTCGGTGAGAGTGGGGGCTTTTCGTAAAAGGATCCCGTGTTGTTGCAGGACGTGGAAGAGGAGGATGTGGTGGTGTTGGTGGAAGATGAGTTATTTATTATTTTTATCGTTAGATTATTTTTGTTTTTGCGATTTCTTTTGGTTTCGATTCTCGGTAGAATTGCACTTGTTGTTGGTTTGATTTCCATTTCCGTTTCATTGAACGATTCAAAATTGGAGTTGGGAGTTGAAGTCGTTTGGTTATCGTTCGAGGCTGATTTTCGTGTTATATTTGCACGTTTATGATTGTCTTTGCTGCTGCGACTGGTGCCAGAATTATCGTCCGCAGCTGAAGTCGATGGGGCTCCAGTCTGACTCGACGTTTCCTGCTGTACAACATGATCAATCTCGGGGAACTTAAAGTAGTTTCCGTTCTTGTAACCAGCGGAGCTTATAACGCCCAACGGCGAGGCCAAGTGAAGGTTATTAATGGACGTTAATAGCTTGGGAGAATATGATAAACGACCCGATGATATCATGGCTGCTTCAGAAGAGGTCAGAATTCTTGGCGAACCAGTGGTCTCATCTAGGATTAGGCTAGGTGAATTATTGCCACCACTGTGGCTTTCGTCGTGCTGCTTATCGGTTGCCTTTGTCTTTGGCTTGGTATTCTCTTTGTCAGTATCCACTGTGCATTCTGCGGACGATGCGTTTTTGATTATTAAATGTTGTGGCGAACAGGAGCGTCTCTCGTAAAGTGAAAACCTTCGATATTTTCCCTTTACTTTTGGCGATGATGGTTCTAAATGCTTTATGAGTGCCGTAGCTGCTTTTGGAGTGCCCGGCACAGCTCCGGATATTTGTAATATTCTTGGACTTTGTTGATTATCTACGGCTTGATGATGCTGGGTGTGTTCTTTCGAGGGCATACTTTCCAATTCACTGTTGTTAGTCTTTACACACGTTTGAACATTACTAGACAGCGTTGCAGCGGCTGATGTCAGCTGGTGTTCCGCTGATGTTGTGTCCGTCAGGCGTGGCGTCGGAAACTCGAATGGACTCTGTATAAATTCCATTGGTGTGAAATACGGTGTACTTTTATTACTTTCGGTGTCATCGTCGTCGTCATCGTCCTCGTCGTCATTGTTGGTGGGAAATGAATATTCAAAGGCAGTGGTTGTGCTGCTGCTACTGCGCATTAAATCCTCTTGACCTCGCTGCATATTTTCGGCCTCGCAGATGCTACTACTGTTGTTGTTATTGTTGTAATTGTCGTTTTCCATATCCACTTTTGCGGATGTTGGCTAATGGTTTAAGCTGTAGCTTCTAGCTGTATATTTATTTATTAGTATGAGAGATTTTCTACAATACTAACGCCGATGTTGTGGGTGTCGTAATCTAGGTAGCCGTATTCTTTTCTTAAAGGGATAGCAGAAGCGCCGCTTAGTCTGGCATGCATATTCATATAGCTATGGAGAAAAACAACAACAACAGTTCAGGTAAATAATTTTCTTCGTATATACAAAGTATATGCGCCGTACTTACTATTTAAACATAATCCTTAAGATAAACATTTATTTAAAATAGTCTTGGTTTATTCTAAGAAATGTATCGCTATTATCGGTTACTTGGTTAGTAGTGGCGCTGCTTTTACCACCTTGTCTGCGATATTGTTTTTATTGATGGTCGGTTGTAGCAGACCGCCTATCGTTCGATCAATCGCCAGTAATTTGGTCAGGTAAATTGTTTTCTCTTCACACCCACACGCTACAGTGTGTGGAATAGGAGCATAATTTAAATAAATTCATATATCGATACTAAGGTGTTCGTTTTGAAATCGTCTTCTGTGTTTGTTTCCTTGGAACTACTGCTGCTGGCATTGCACGAACCATTACAGGTCATATCTGTAATAAGAAATATTTAATACATAAGTATTTATTTACAGATGTCATAAGTCATGTTCATTTGTGATGCAGATATATGAAATGAAATAAAATATGTTTGTGTCGGAACAAATTCCCCTTTTTTACACTCAGATTTGTTTTCGAGAAGATAAGGGAAGTCAAAAGGAAATATGAATGGTTAAGCATTTGAATGATGTGATAAATGGCTAGAATATAATCTAATGTATCGGAATCCTCTTTTAAAATCTCGTGGATATTGTTGTTGTAATATTAGATATATTTGGAATCCAAGGTGGACGATGAAATAGTATGTATTGTCTGTCGTGAACATATTTAGAAGGAATATACATATGTAATTATATAGTCCCTGCAATATGAGTATTTAGGAAAACTAATACAAACGTTGTTGACTTTTTCAAGATCAAGTTATTATAGTGTCACATTAGCAAAGGATAGTTGACCAGCCGATAATGTTCCTTCCTACCTACAAAGTATACAATATAAAAATTATGAAATAGACAGAAAGAAATATTGAGATTATTGCTAAATATTCTCAAGTTACTAAGTTTAGTAGAACTTAAACTATCACATGTTTATTATATGGTGGATCCTTACTAGCAATAACACTAAGCTGTCGGTCTATGGAGAAAAAAGCTACCAAATTAAATGCATACACTTTATACGAAAATTAATCTCTCAACAAACCGTTCATCTTATTTTTCATCTAGATGCGGTATGTGTTCACCTACAAATCTTTTATAAAAATCTGGAATGTATTTGTTGTTGATTTGCACATTCAGTTAATTGAACAGACACACACATATATACAGCCACCGATAGTGGTCGCCGATTGTAATCATGAGAGGAGGATGAGGCAAAGAGATTGTTAATAGCAAGCGGTCAATAAAAATTATTATAAACAAATATTGCTATTAAACATAAGTATGCGCAATAAGCTATGAAAAAGTAAATAGAAAAAGAAATTTGCAAAATGAAATGCAGAGATGGGTACGTACGTACACGGGGTGGGATAGCAAGTTTCGTCGAAAACAACAAACAAACACCAGCTAAGGTGAAAATTCATCTGCTCGATACATCTCGCACAAAGGCCAAGCAGCAACAAATCGCGTAAGAGTAATTGGCAATGACAGCAGCAGCACCAGCAGTAATTTGTTTTCCGTTCTCTACTTCGTTGTTGTTGCTGTTGTTATTATTATTGTTATTACTTGTGTGTTGTTTTCGACTTTCGACGTAGACGTCGTATCTAAAAGATTTCTATTTTCGTTACAAAACTCATTCAGTTAAACCCCCTCAAAAAAATAAAAGCTGTGAAGAGATGATGGCGTTGGTTAATGATCGGTTCAGATCGGAACAGATGATGTTGGTGATGATGAGGTTCACTGCCTGATTTGCTGCTTACCGATGATGATGATGGTGATGACGGTTCGCCCGTACTATGATGGTTTTGTTTATTTTAATAAGTGACCAACGCTGAATAGCAGAACGGCTCAAGTTCAATGAAGTGCCTGATGTTCTTCATCATGTTTATAATCGCTAAAATTGTTTATTTATTTTCAATGACGATTTTTATAGTGCATTCATTTATAATTCATCTACTTATGTTTTCTGTGGTCTTCTACATTTTTATAATTAATCGTGTTTGTCGGTTTATTTGTGGTTTTGATTCATAAATCGAAAACTCCAAGTTCGCACATAGACCGTCTCCGTTTGGATGATGGGAGGGATTTTGTGGCACAGAGAAAATCTCAATTTCCCTTCGACACCTCTAAGCAAAATGATAACTCGGCATGAGTCCTCCTAGATGGTGTTGCAACTATTTTCACTGACTATCTTCCAAATCGCACCAGCAGCAGCAATGAGGTGTCATAGCCCGTCGTCGCTCGTATTTCTTTCAATTACAATTACAAAAACAATGTATGTTCACATAGATTTTTTTTCTTCGTCGTATGGTTCCACACACAGAGTATCGATTTTTGGCTACATGGGACGCGTTCGAATCGAGTATTGTGTTACAGGCTTGATCACAATTGTATCGAAAAGTATTTCTTTACACCGTAATAGAACTATTTCTATGAATAAATTCCGAAATATTGTATTATTTTTTATTGTATTTATTCGAACGTTCTTCGTGAAAAAATATATACACAATAGAGAATGAACTAATGTATCTGACAGTGGAATAATGTATCTGACAGATACAGAGATTCTGGCGAGTATCTTTAACATTGCTGATTGGCTGTGTTCAGTATGCTCTCATATGTATGTGTGCGTAAGGTGTAGAAGAAGTTTTAGAATGTACTAAATATATAATTTACAATGAATTAAATACTTTATATATTATATGTGTATATTTAAAAAAATATTTAAAAATTTATGCTATGAAAACAATTTCCATTATTGATATCAAACAGAGAAATTATCTAAACTAAAAATTAAATGAAAATAAACGTCACAAATCTACAAATTGTCACAAAATATCGAGACAAACTTTCGTATGTCCCCATACTGCAAGAAACTACTAGTTTTTACTACTTTTTCTGATAACATAAGGAAGACTCTTGCAGAAATGGTATTTTATATCTGTTCCGGAATCTATACGTCCTTTTTTTAGAGGACAATCATTTATTTTAACTGGCTGTCATCTATAAAATGTATGTCCTCTATCTGTATCTATTTCTATAATATGTCATTATTGTCATCGATATTTTTAAAACAATTATCATTTTTTATTTTAGTAAGTTAAATGACATTAATAATATTTATTTATGAATTTCACATTTTTTGCCCATATTTTCGGTATTTTCAGGATTTTAGATACATTTTCCAACCGAATTATCTGTTATTTTAATTTGTAATTAATAAACAAATTTATGTATTTTCAGGTTTTCTGGACAGGTTCCTGGACGAATTGGCTGTAATTTGATACTTTGTCTTTTATGATTCTAGGTGTTCCCAAATGAACGAAACCCACTTTCTTTTTGGCTGCTGCAACTTACTATTCTTTGTGGTCTATGGGTTGTAAGTTTTAATTGGAAAACATAGTCGACATAGGTCCCAAGATTATTCGCTTCGGACAAAAAAAAATGTTACCTCATTTTATTATTTATAACTAAATCTAATACGGCATTTACATTAGAACTTTTTACCGGGTTAACCTACTTTATGAGGATTTATTTGGCATATATTCAAAGGAATTGAAAATTTAAACCCACTCGGTTAACCAAATCCGATTCAATGTAAACGACCTTTAAATGTATATTTTTTTCTTTTTGTCATCAATTCTCATTTTCAAAATCTGGTCGCCTTATATAAGAATGTTAAAATTGTTAAAGCCATAACAATTTTTCCTTTATGATATCAAAAAATAGTGCAAATTAGTATATTCTCACAGAACTATTACTTTTTATGGTCGTCAAAGTTTATAAAGTAAAAACTTTCTCCGAAATTAGTGTATACATATATTATGCTGGAAACTAAAGAAAACTCCTTATAGAAAGTTCAATCAAACACCTGATAAAGGCTGGTCCGTTCCTTATCTTTATAATATTACAGAAAGAAATGGTGCGATTGCTATGATATTCGATTTATGTTTTTTTATTTTTCCGACATTGAGATATATTAAACATTAATCAAAATACTACGATGTGTGAACCGGCCTTGCCACATCTCGTGGTATAGTGTAAATAGGCCCAATGTATGCCACATCGTGTAAACCAGATATTTCATGTTTTGTGTTTTGTTTTTTTGTTGGGAGAAAAAAAAATAAAAATTAATTCGTGTTAGAAAAATTACAATTTTCTCCAAATACATTAAAATTTTCGAAACGAAAGCGATTCGAGGCGATTAATTAACGAAAATTATGAAAATAAACTGATATAAACTGTTAATATTCCTGTAACAAAATGATAATTGAGTGAAACCTAAGAATTGGAACAACCAAACAAACAACAAAGAAAACATACAAAACTATATTCGTCGTCGATATTGGAAAAGCGGAACCAAAATACTATCAATTGGAGTGATTCGGAGCTTAACACTGTTGAAGAGCAGCTTGGTGGCGTTGAAAAAAGAAAACAATTTGTTTGATGTGTGTAAACAAACCAACTTCTCTGGGTCAAGTGAGATTATGCGAAGAAGCAGCAGCGACTTAATCTTAAGCAATAATTAAATCAAAAGTGATTCATCGTTATCATCTCGACACACACTCCACCACCGCTGCTCCATAACATAAATAGCAATCTTTACCCACGATTGAATAACGCAAAATTCTACCCAGTTTTGTTGTCTCTTGTTTTTCATGTCCATTCAGTTTGTTATCGCCTTTAGCCTCTACACCATTTTTTCGCCGGCAGCTAATTGAACGATGCTAATGTCGTCGAAGTAGGAGGTAAATATCAGCTGTCACCAGCTATTGAGTAGAAAAGTATTGTTTGCATTACTATTGGAATTGGATCACATTATTACGGCACTGCAATATGGATTTAGTGGATATTGATCAGGTATTGGACAATTTGGAGCTTCACGAAGAGGCAGCAAACGAACAGCAAAGAAAAAGGCTTGAGGAGGCCAAACAAAAGGAGACATCAAGCCAGCCAAAATCAACCTCAACAACAAACGGGTTTGTATCCCAGTCTAAGGAAGGTTCTGGGTTCAAGGCAGTTTCACAAGTTTTTAACAGTCTAGACGATTACTGCAAAAATGTGGAGTCTTTGGAGGCGACAGTTACCTCTGTGTCATCCCTACACTCCAGCAATGATTTCATTAGTCGAACTACAGACTATCGGGAAAAGTCTGGATTTCAGCCGTCACAATTAGTAGCCACTTCTCGCCAAGAACTGGAAGAGTACGAACATGAAGTGGAAGAGAGTAAAGATATACACAAATTCACGGAAAAACCTCGTAGTCGAAATAAGTTGACCGCTGCGGCATGTGATAGTAAAGATTCTCCTGATGAGTCTACCAATAGTCAAAGCTCAGAGTCGCTGACAACCTCGTCAAATTCAACATTCTCTTCTGGTCCATCTTTGGAGCCTGAGGACTCTCTGGAAGAACCCACTCCATTGACAAATTCTTCACCCGATGATGTTGTGGAAGATGAAGAAGATATAAAAAACACCACAATGGAAGTAGTCAATGGAAGCAATGAAAACCAACTTACAGCCAAAGAAGAAGAAAATGAAGAAGAGGAAGCACCCAGCGGGTGTTCTGCTAACAATACTGAAGACCAATCCCAAGCTCCAGCCGGTGATAATGAGGAAGCCACATATTTGAGTGAAATTTCCAATTCTCTAGATTTAATTCAGCAAAATTTGCAAAGCACTACCAACGTAGAGGATTTGACCCAGGGTCTTTCCTCAATTTCTCTCACAAGTGCAAATCTGCAATCGCAATCAGTTTTACATTTGGAGACATCTCTGTCCTCGTCCATGGGCAAAGTGTTGGAAAACCTTTCAGATACCAATTTGAGTTCAGCCTTGAGTCAAACGAGAGACATGCCCATTGCAGCAAACAATACCCCTAACGATGAATCTTCTGAGGCAGCCAATACTTCTGTAGAAGTACTAACTGAACACTCTGTACCTGAAGTGCACCATCCAGATGGACAGCAACAACTTCAAGAGCAACAACCGCAACAAGTTCACCAAATCTACGATTATAATCAGGCCAAATTCGAGGATGCCAATTCTTTTGTTCAACAACCAGTTACTTTTTGTTCTACAATGGATGAAATTTCCGATGCTGAATTGGATTCCATGTTACAAGAAATGGATATAGACGATGAGGCCGTATCAGTGCAGCCCCAGGCACATGTTGATGAAATTAAGGAGGAGAGTCATGTAAACGACCTTAATGCAGTCTCCCAAACCGTTTCACATTCGGCGGACAGAGAAGTTAATATCTATGCCGAACATTCTGATGATGTTTTGTCCAATGTGAGCTCTGGTGATCATCCTAATGGAGACAGTTTTTCTCAAGCTTCAACTGTTGAATTTTCCGAGATAAGACCACAAAATCATCAAGACTTACCAGAATGTGAAGATAATATCGGTATCAGTTCGGCAGTTTCTTCCTACAGTAACAGTGAATCGTCCTCTTTGGAAGGCGACATTATACAGGCCAAGAATATTGATGCGGAAGATTCTGACCCTTCACGTCCGCAAAGACCTACTTCTCTGGATTTACCAGCTATACAGGCGCTTGATATTTACGCCAGTGCTGGTCAAACCCCTCCTGGAGCAGAACAACACACCAACCCGACAGACACAACCACTGCACCACAACAGGAAGAGTTGCAAGCAACTCCATCGCCCGATGAGGAACCCAAGCCCAGCCCGGTAGCAAATGAAGTAGCTGAGGCTACAGGCTATAGTGAAGACCCACATGCCAATTTAGGTAAAATTCCACCCATATGGGTACCGGATAACATGGCTACTGGTTGCATGCAATGTGCTGCTAAATTCACTATGATAAAACGTCGTCACCATTGTCGTGCTTGTGGTAAAGTTTTGTGCTCCGTTTGCTGTTCGCAGAAGTTTAAATTGGAATTTCTGTCTGAGCCTGAATCTCGCGTCTGCGTCCAATGCTATTTGATATTAACACAAAGGCAGACGGGACAATCTAGCTTGGGAACTACTGGGACCGGATCGGCCCAAGTTACTACTGGCGGTAGTCTGAATAGGTCTCCAAATCCGAATAATCCCATGGAGTACTGTTCAACAATACCACCATATCGTCAGGTTAGCGCCGATGCCAAAACACCGCCTACAGTCATTGTGCCAGTGGGTGTCCTAAAAAAAGATAATGGGAGTTACTCCTCGACATCGTCGAATTCTAGTGGACAGAAAGCCCGTAAGCGGAAGTCGGTAATGTTTAGTGACGGCATTGCACCTGGTAGTGATCTGGCTAACATAGATCAGTGGAATGAGCAACCCAAACAAGCCCGAAGACAAAGTTCTGGAAATAGAAATGCGAACAGCAATAAACCAGCTACGCCTCGCTCGGAATATATAACAGATGCTACGACAATGGGTTTGGTCGCACAATTATTTAGAGGCTCCATACCACCCATGGCAGCGGCTGCAACAGTAAATACAGCTAGCCAACAGACGGGAGGTTCTAGTGGTAAGCACAGTATATTATCCGATATTCCCCAGTATGAATTCTAATTCCCCATTGTTCTTTAATCAGCTCTCAAGTCATCTAATCAAAACTCAGCAAATACTTCGCCCGTAAGCGGTGGTACACCAAAGGCGACCGACACAAACAATCGACCTAAACGCATACCACCCTCGGGTTGCGATGATGATGGTTGCTTTATCCCCGAAGCTAAAGACAGCTTGCCGCCCATTGTTGTCGCTAAAGACGAAACTGGTTGTGATTTTGACTATAAGGATGTGGTAAATAATTACGATTTAGTCAAGCGTTTACAAAACGAAACTCTAAAATTTGCAGTGCAAAAGAATTTCTTTGTCTTTGTGAAAATAGTTCATTGTGAGTATTTTGGATTATATTGGGTGGGGAGGATACTTTGCGGTTTACTGAGATAATTTCTGTTTCTGTTCTGATTTCAGTGAAATGTTGTTTAAATCGTACGGTAATAAATTTCACCACATGTGGCATGCATCATGTGGGTAATGATGAAATTATTATACTGCTAGAATTCGAACCGCCAACATCCAAGGAAGCGACTACGAATACCAGCTCTCTAATTCCTCGAGACATTTTTGTACATTTAAATGAGATCTACAATAATGCGGAGGCCGGTAATCCCATACAGGAGTTATCACACACAAGCCCAACACAAAGCACATTTTTAGGATCTCGTGACTATGGTGGTTTTATATTCATACGGCCAACGTTCCAGTGTATGCTGGACATAATTCATCCCGACAAGCCATATCTGATAGGCATATTAATACATCGTTTCGAAATTCCTTGGGCAAAGATATTCCCGTTGCGTTTGATGTTGCGATTGGGCGCTCAATATCGTTACTATCCCTGCCCCCATGTGTCTATGTGTAATCGTGAATCGGTATATGCTGAAATAGCACAGACAATAATAAACTTTTTGGCTGTAAGTTATGGCTCACTATGTGGGGTGAGGCGTATTCTAAATCATTTTATTTTTGTATTTCTACAGGATTTCCGCAACTATTCGTATACCTTACCGTTCATTAGAGGCATGTATATACACATGGAAGATCGTCAAACTACGGTGGTTATACCACGCAACCGCCTGGACGACGTAATCAAAGCAATAAACAATTCTAGTGAACACATTTTGGCATTTGGAGGTAATTTTTCGAAGAAGGCAGATGGTCACTTGGTTTGTATGCAAAATGTAAATGACGAACGCGCTGAGATGTATGCCTATTCTACGCAGGCCATTAACATTCAAGGACAGCCACGTAAAGGTAAGAAAATAATTGTGGTGAGTCCGACATGAAAATATGTAAAATAATTGTTGGTATTTATGTTTTAGTAACTGGTGCTAGTTTCTTTATCCTAAATGAGTCCCTCAAAGCGAACAGTGGTCTTAGCGGCAAATGTAGCATCGTCGAGGATGGTCTAATGGTCCAAATACTACCATCCAAAATGGAGGAAGTTCGGGAATCGCTTAAAAATCAAAAAGATGTCACAATTGTTTGCGGTCCCATCGATGCCGATGAACAGCATACCGAAATTGTTTGCCTTAAATGGGTGGAAAACGATAAGGAATTCAATATTGGGTAAGAATTGTGTGAATTGTTTGTCTCGAAACAAACGTGTGCTTATGTATGTGCCAATTTTAGCGTAAAATCGCCCATAGATGATCGCCTTATGGACGGGGTGTCAAGTATGCGGGTCCATGCCAGCTTTAGCTATTCAAATTCAAACTATTCCATACGTCTAACTGATATATACGTAATTCAGGTAATATATTGTTTGTACAATTGTTTGAAATGTTTGGGAAATAAGTTTTTGTGGTTATTAAAGCATGTCGATTGGTATAATACAAATTCCTCAACCCTGAGTGCTGAAACAACATCCGATGTTACCCGAATGACCGAACAAATAGCCAGAAGTACATCAATGGCGTTGGTACCATTTTTGGATCTTTTGGTAGCGAGTAAAAGTACGAAAATTGGATTAAGAGCCACCTTGCATCAGGACAATGTAAGTAAATTAGCAATTGAATTTTTTAAATTTTTTTAAATTCTGAAATTTGAGAATTGTTGTGTTTATATTCTCTAGGTATGTTACGAGGCTGGTGCACGTGGCTCAAAATTGCCACCTCTTTATATGAATGCATTAGATAATCATTTGATTCCTACTTTACATGGCATTTCATCCGGCATAGAGGAGGCGTTAATATTAGAATTAATTTTTTACATATTAAATGTTTAGTTAAATCAAATCCATTGTTTACGACGACTACGATGACAAACGCAAAATGAAAGCCAAGTTTTATTGAATAAACATTAAACTATAACCCAATTTATTAACGAAGTAACTGTGCAATGAAAATTCAAAATGTTTAACTAAGGTCTAGAGGTGAATCATTGTTTCTATTTTATTTTTTCTAGAATTAAGTCAAGACTAAACCCCAACATTTGTATAATCAAATAACGATGTCACAGTTTTTTTCTATTTCTTATACACATTGAATGTGTAATGGAGTATATTTTTATTAATAATTTTTCTTTTCTACTACTACTAAGTTTTAGTTAAACTACCAAGTTTTAGTTAAAAAAAAATATTTTTTTTCTGTTGGGGACACACTACTATATACATACATATAGAAGAAAATACACACTATATAATATTCTAATGTAGAAATATCAAATGTATTATAATGATAATAATATTCAATTATTGTTTAATATTTTATTCACTTTTATTTCTCAAATTCAAATGTGTTTTCGATCTTTCGATAATAAATAATACAATAGTAATATAAATAATCAATAAAAAGTACCTTTAAATGAAAAAAAAAAATGTTTAATTAGTTAAGAGGATCACAGAAGACTACAAACACAAATAAGATTGAGTTTTAAATTAGGATAACTGACATGAAAGTCTTGAGGAGAATATAAGAGATGAACAAAATTATGACATAACGGGGACCGACCAGGCCATAAATGAAAGGTAAGCATATTTTTGTTTCGAAAATATTCAGAAATGCAAAAATCCTTGGATTGTGAAAAGATATCTCCATGAACATTTTAACAGATTTTATATCAGAAACCATACTTTATTTCTAAATATCGAAATGAGTAATAAATATAGGATTCAAGCCTCATACAAACTATCAAATGTTGAATTCCTACAATTCTGATAAGTCTTCGTACAATAACCATATGTTCGAAACTCCATGTTCACATCTAAAATCAAGTAAAAGAATTATACAAATATCACTTTTAGTTTCTGAGATATTGCAATTAGAAGTTTACCTTCATTCGAAATAGCCCTACTGCTGACTTATGTGTGCCTGTTACCAAAATTTGGTTTTCCCTTGTATTTTATGTTTTTGAAATTTCTTAATTTTCTACTACAACTACTGGGTGAGGGAGGGTGGTGGAGGGAGGGAGGGTCATTAACACATACTTCTTAAATTATGGATGGTACATACTGATATACATACATATTATCCACACCAATAACGAATGATGACATTATTGCTCCTAAAAATATGCTACAATTTGCTACATCATTCTCAGAAATTTAGCGACAATTTAAAGATCAAAATACAAAGGAAAATTTGATTTGTGGTATCAGGCGATCAGAATTTAACAGCAGCGATATTTTTCAATCAAGGTTTACTTCAAATAGCAATATCTCAGCAACGAAGCGAAATTTCTTTATGAAACTTTTACCAAATTGATGAGTTAAAATAATATTTTTATTGTAGATATAATAGGATGGTCTTATTGAAAATAAACGTACAAATATATTGGTATAATACAAATTCATCAACACTGATTGCTGAAATAACATCCGATGTTACCCAAATGACCGCCAGAAGTACATCAATGGCCTTGCTACCATTTTTAGAATTTTGGTAGCGAGTGACAGTAGAAAAGTTAATTTAAGAGTCACCTTGCATTCGGACAATGCACCGCTCTTTTCATGATAATTGGTAAATATTTAGCAGGCCAAATGGACCCAGACTTCTGTGTGAAAATTGCAAATTATGTCTATAATTCGAAATATTTTTTTTAATCGCTTACAAAAACAGATCGTAATATTTAAACTTCAAATCATTCTTTAAATACATACCATCCATCACAGTGAAAATATATAAACACTTATCACTCCCCATTTAAAAACCAACAGACATTTGTGTTTTCTCTTTAAATAAATTACTTTATTTACTTACAAAAATGATGATTGTGAACAATTGTGTGTTTGTGTGTAATTTGTTGATTTTTTATACTATACAAAATTAGAAAAAACACTTGTCTCATATTTTATACACTTTGTCCATTTTGTAGCAATGAATTTGCAATTCGTCATCTTCTCGCGATCTGTTTCATAATTAACATTTACAACAGAATTTCCCAGTAATTGTCATTTGCTTCTTCAAATTAAATTAATTAACTGAGAGGGTAACTAAAAACAATATTTTCGGGAAATCCTAACATTACGAGAGATTGAAGAGAAAAAACATGTCTACAATTTCATGTTACAGTTTACTCCAACAATGAGAGTATTTTTTTTTTAACTACCAATTTTAATGAAATGTTAACAATGTTTTGTTTTTAAATTATTTTTTTTACATACAAAAAACTTAAATTAAGCAACCAAATGTAAAAAAAGTTGAGGTCGTTTGAATGACAATGAATGAAGATATTAAAAGTGGAATTATTTGGTTGTCTACTAATAGATGAAGGAAGGAAAGACATTGGATTTACAGTTGTAAGAACAGCTAATCAGCTTCCTCTTCTTACAGTTCATCGTGTTTGGGTCCAGAGAACTCATCGTGGGAAATGAAACCATTCTTGTCCTTGTCTTCGTGTTGGAAGATTTCTTCAACTAATTTGTCGTTTTCCTTCAACATATTCTTCAATTCCTCCGAATCTTGACCTTCAACGGCGGTCATTTGTTTCTTCAAGTATTCACTGACCTGTAAAAAATTAAATTAGCAAAATAAATATTACGAAATGAAATGATGTCATTGATATTAACAAAAAAATATTAGAATTAAAGTGCAGTTTTTTTGTTAAAATTAAAATGATGGTTGTGTTAGTACTACTACAATGATGAGAAATGTTAATTGAAAAATTATTTTTTTTCCATTCTCCCTGGGAGGTTGGAGAAAAGGGAAAAGTACAAATACATAGTATAGTCACCATCCACCAACAGTAGTTCATGATTATACCCCAGTAACCAATTAAAAATCAAAAAGTGCAGAAAATGAAAAAGTGCGATCCATACATATTGGTTTACCTCTTCGCGGCTCAATTGCTTGTCACCATTTTCATCGATTTCCTTGAAGACATTAGTGGTTGGTGGGCTGTTGCTAATGTTGATGAGTTCAACATCGAAGATCAAAGTAGCCTTGGGTGGGATAACATTGCCAGCACCGCGATCGCCATAGCCCAACTCTGGTGGAATGGTAAGTTTACGTTTTTCACCTAAAAAAGGAGAAAAGGGAAAAAATATTATAAAATGGTTTCAAACGTAGTTTTGAGTTTTTTTTTTTTGGATTAGGCAAATAAAATTGGATATTTGAGATAAAAATTGAAAATCCTCATAAATAGTTGTTATGTCTCAATTTTTTCTAAAAAAAATATTTTATTTTGTTATAACTTTTTGTTATTATTTTGTTATAACTTTGATGTGACGAAGTTCGAGTAACATCAGAGTCGTTTTGGATCCATAACCTAAATGTTATATTGTCGAAACAATAATTGAATTTTTAACATTGATCATAATCTAATTCTATGTCCATTTAGTTATGTCATTACATAAGATTGAGCTTTGAAATTTCAGACATATATTGCTACTACTTTGAGGATTTTTGATATTGAAAATAGGATTTATAGGTAGATCTATTGGATTTATCCTAGTTCACAGAGAAACGTCCCAAAATTTTGAATCGATTAGGTTATAAGTTTTTGAGTGACCGCCATTCGCAAAAACACTGTTTGGAGAAGAACGCGTTTAAAGTTTGAGAATCCCTCTTGTATTCATTTGATGCTAACAAAATAAATCGGCTATATCTTCAAAAATTATTGAGATTTTCACTTGAAATTTTATAGGGATATTCTTGAATTGGTGTAGGTTCAAATTACATTAAAATGCAAAATTAAATTTTTTTGAAGCCGAGAATGGAGGGGTCCCTTAAGTACCTGTAATTATATCCTGCATCATCATAAGGTGGAGTGTATATTAAATTTGTCATTCCATTTGCAACACCTTGAAATATTCACCGGAGACCCCATAGAACCTTAAATATTTTCACATAAATTGTAACTACTAATAGGATGTCTGGTATTGAAAATGGGATATATCGGTATGACCCCCATATAAGGTACCGCCGAAATTTAGAATTTTGTGGATCTTTGGCGGGTTTTTCAATCGAATTTGATGTATTTTAGCTTGTTGAGTTTTTAATAGGTGATACATTTTCCTACCAAAACCTATTTTTTTTTAAATTTTTACGGTACGTTCTATTACGAAACACCCATATATTCGGAATTTTGGGACATTTCGGTACGTTTTTAAACCGAATTGACTGTAATTTGGTATTATGTGTTTCATTATGTGGCACATCTTCCTACCAAGAATTATCAATATTCACACACTTCTTTTTTAAAATAGACCCGTATGACGGGACCACGCAAATTTCGGTATTTTGGGGAGTTTAGGCACGGATTTTAAATCGAATTGCCAGGAATTTGCTATTTTGAATTGAAAAAGGGTAGCAAATCTTCCTTTCATTATAGCTCTCATATAAAGGCACCGGAATTACCATTTTTCGCATTTTTTAAACTGAACTCTTTTTTTTCTTTATCATTTCCAAATCGTGCTAAAATATATTCTAGATACTGAATACTTATTAAAGGGTTTATTTTTATTAAATTCAAATTTTTAAACTTACCAACACACATATCAACTAAACCTTGGTCCCAGCCCTTAATAACTTGCCCAGCACCCAATTGGAAGGTAAATGGTTGGTCACGATCCAAACTGCAATGAGAAGAAAAAGAAAAAAAGGTACAAACAATTAGAACCAATTGAAGATAAGTGTCATCTACAGCATAGAAGGAAATGAGAAAAAAAAACAATTCTGAAAACCATGTGAAGTGCTCTCACTGGAGGCGATGTAACAACACTTCATATTTAACGTATGCTTTGGTGGTACATCATTAAACATTCGTATGTCTACTTTTCACTGTATCACTCTGTGTGATGAATAATTCGTCATTTTTAGCCGTGAAGGAAATGTAATAAATGGTTTAAAAAAATTAAAACCACATACAATTTTTTAGACCTTACCAAGAGAAAAGTGATAAAATAAAATGAATTTAAAGAAAATTATGGGCAACAATCTCATGATTATCCTTTGATGATTATGGAAGTGGAGGGAAAAAAGGAGAGAATATATGTAGTCATTTACACCTTTAAAATTTTTAAATTAAAATTATGGCTCTTTCATTATATTTTATTTTTAAAATAAATTCTATTACGATATTTGTTGGCATACGATTTTTGTTTATTACAAATAACAACAATTGAATGCGAACATCTTTTTAAAAATTAATATTGTCGCCATAGGATTTTGTTCTAATGTAGTCCCCCTTCTTCTTCCTCTTCGTCCAACTGTTCAACAAAAAATAAATGACACACGCGGGGCTAAATAAAAAATGATTATCATAAACTTAAACAACTTATCACAGACTGTGCTCAGGGAATTGAGAGGGGATGGGTGTTGGGTGAATCAAATAAACAGAATTTGTAAGATATTTTACAAAATATGTAAACATATTTCTGTTAGAAGACGACAATATTTATAAGGATGTTTAGGTGTATAAATATAACACATGTGACGTCATCTTGTGGACAATTTTGATAGGTGTAATATACACCTATCATTGGACTGGCTACATACCCAGCAATCGAAATAATTCGATATGAATTTTTAAGAAGTCTGGATGCTTAATTATATATTTTATGGGGTAGGATACTCAATCCTCTTTCTTAAAAAATCGTTACACAAAATATATTGGCTTTATACTCCTGAAGTTCATCTCTCCCCGGTTTTCTACCAAAGTTCATAACAAATTATTATCCAATCATGTCTCTTTGAATAACAATTAGCATATTTAATGAACATAAATCAATGTTCCCAATATTAGGAAGTTATGCGATGATACCTTCCCAAGGTATTAATATAAATCCCATAAATTCTGATATACGGAAAAGCTTTACAAAAGATTTTCAAATGATAATAAAAAAACCAACAACAACAATAATAACAATATTAATACAAGTATGTTGGGAAAACGTTGGCACACTGAATACGCATAAAATTAGTTATGCATTTGCAAAAATGGCGATAAAAAATCTAGCATTAGAATCATAAAACTGCACACACACAAACAAACACAATATACAAATCTTCATTATGATATTGGCTAGATATAAATAAACAGAAGCGTGGCAGAACGAAATAAATGCTCTTCTATCCCACCAACCAGTTTTTGTTTATAGAAGGAAGAAACCCCTGCGCCACTGTTCGCTCATCTGAAGACATTTGTGCCCCTTCAGTCAAGTCAGCCGCACACAGCTCACAATAGAATCGTCATCATCATAATCTCTTAAAACAACAAATCCTCCACAACATTTGCACGACTTGTTTTCTAGGTGTTTATGGCAAACTGGCGGAAACAAGTGTCAATGCTTGTAAAAAAACAACAAACAAATACGTTCACCGAAATGCAATACAAATTCAAGGCAAAAAAATGAACTCTATATATGAGGGACCACGAAGAAGAGCGAGCATCAAAGTATAAGCATGCATAACATATTGAAGTGCGCCAGAAAACATGCGAAACATAAGAATTTCCCCATATAGAGTGGGAAAGCCACTCATAATCCAACGGAATCCTCAAGTAATATCCAGGTCGTAATTTTTTCTATTTTGATGGTGTTTTTATAAACACATTAATTTTAGAGTGTTAGATGCGGGTGCCGCAGCATAACAATGCGTAGTAGTAGGATGTTGCGGACAAATATTTTTCCGTTTGGAATTCCATGACATTTGAAGGTGTTGCTGTTGTTACAGTTAAACTGTCACCTTGTAGGGTATTTTGTGTGTGTGTGTGAAAAACCACATAAGAGATTATCCTTGGTTCCTTTGCCTGTCATTTGTTTTGTTTTTGCCTTTCGTCTTCACCTTGGGATAAAACAGTCAAATGTCGCAGTGTTGTCGGGAAAATGCTTCATCATTCTACAGAAAAATCATCATCAGCAGTTAAGCTTGTAATATAACGGAACGAGGGGGAGATGTGTACTCCCTCCTCTTGTGTTTACAAATGTATAAACAAATGAAGACAACCGTATTTGAATTGTAACAAAATCCCCCCAGAGGAAAAGGCACATAAAATATTTAAACCCGCCACTTGTTCAGTGTGCCTGGCTGTTAAATAAACGTTAATATAGAAAAAATATGTAAAGTTCTTGTTGTCTGATGTAAGCTGGCATCAAAGCCCAAGAACGAAACTTGTTGTAGAATTTGCTACTCACCATCAGCAGCAGCAGCCGAACTGCAAGTAGTAACTACAGCAATTGTTAGTGCAAACTTTTTTAGTACTTTTTTTATTTTTCCAAAAGTGTTGCATTGGGAGGCATTTTTCATTTGTTAAAAAGTTTTTTTTTCTTTGCCTGTACAATATGATAATCATAAGGTCTGGATGATTTGCCAAAAAAGGACAGTTTGAAAAAAATATGTTTCTAAATTTATTTGCAGTCTGTTGTATTCTATTAAATTTATTTTAGAAAAATTAGTAAAGTTTATAAATAAATAAAATGAGACCATATTATAGACGGTAGACCGATTATGTGTAATCTGAATGGTATTGGATCTTTCGATATTTCTGTATAATAAGGGGAACTCCCTCTTATAAAAATGTTTTGGCAGGTTATATTTTATCTTTAACCCTTTGAGCCCCGAATGTTTTCCGCAATCTTAGAACAAATTTCTGTTCACAGATTTAATGCAACTATCCTAAATAGGATATGCACAAAATTCGCTACATCCTTGCATTAGAGAGATACAGTACATTCTTTTGGAAAAATTAAAGTCCAATATCAAGAAAACCAAAAGCAAAATCGACAGAAAGTCATTATAAATTATTCTCTATATTTTTTTTTACAAGAATCAAAAATAATTCTGGTGGCAGAATTCGTACAATTTGAATACGAAGCGATTTAAATAATTTAGACTGTATACACAAATTAATACTCTACACAAATATACCCTCTAAATTCTCTATTTTGAAAAGCTCATAACATTACCAACATTTTGAATTTTTTTGATTTTTCTTTTGATATGCGTCGTCCATAATCGGGTTATGTATAGATTTCCCTACTTATCGCCTGGTTAAGAACAATATACAGAACTTCGTAGGCACCCTTTAAATATTCATAAAATACTTCAGTATTACTGAAGGATGTAACCGTTAGCCCTATTATTTCATTATTGCCAATTTGATTGAAAACGTGTCGAAATTCCCCAAAATAGATAACATTTCAGATTAGATTTTGCTTTCTCTACAAAAATAATATGTTTAAAAAATCCACGCCAAAAGATTAAACTTGAAAAAATACTTTTAAAAAAATCCGCGCCTAAAATTAGACTTGAAAGTTTATAGTTTAAAAAATCCACGCCCAAAATTAGACATGAAAAAATAAAGTTCAAAAAAATTTAATTAGACTGGAAAAATTCACGCATAAAATTGAACTTAACTTAAAAAAAAATTCTAAATATGTCTAAGGCTTTTGACCTTTGTATTCATAAATACTATTTGAGTTTGTTAGTTTCAGATATGTTCATCCCAAATTTCTCTTCCTTATTATTCAGCATGACAACATTCCATTGTAGCCGCTTCGATGATGGCATTGTATGGGATATCACTTGTAACACAGTTTAACTTATTGTTAGAGTTTTTTGTTTTCTTTATTTTAATTTCAATATTTTTTATTTATTGAATATTTTCCGAGGTATATGAATATACGAGGCACAACGACGACAATGGCAATACCTTTTACCGGAATTAATTTGTTATTGATGGTGCCGATGAATTGTTAATCGCCGTGTAAACAGTTAATTGGATTGTCACATTTCTCGCGCTATACAAATATGTTTGTTTGTATGTAGGCAATGTGACAGACAGACGGGGGATGGAATGAAAGAAAGTCTGTGCAATATGAATGAGTATGCTACTTTTCATCCGGATACGAAGAGTAGATGATGATATCCATCATTATGATGAATATGGAGTAACCAAATATCGACAGGTGCTGATGCAGCTGAGTTCAATGTGTCAGCCAAAAAAAAAAAAAAAAAAAAAAACGAATTGAAATTCATATCAGTGAGGGATAGCCAAAAAATTAAATGATATTAAATTTGATTAAATCAAATAGTTCAGTGGATAATCGGTAATGGAAACTTCACGACGAATGCAGCAAATATACGTTGATGGTGATAGGAATCCGAATTAGTTTGTTTAATTCGTTGTTTAAAGAGTGAACAAAGTGGAAATTTTGCCAAAGTCATGTCTTAGTTATTAGCAAGTTTTTGTTGTTGTTGAGCTTTGTTTAATGTTATAAATAGGAATGGTCAGAGTTTTGTTATTTTAATTTCTAGAACACTAACAATTTAAAAAAATCATCTTACGTGTACAAGTAGACGCCTTAGGATCAGATTTTACTTTTTTTAATGAATACTTTTTGAGGATTATATCGTATTTTTTTGTCCACAGTTACCATATTACACTTAAGACAAATCGAAATACAAATGAAATTTGCGAATGACATCTATCCAATCTATCTATCTCTCATCGTGACCCTATATATTTTCTGAATGTGGTGGTATGATTAAAATTTCAAAAATAAAACTACTATTTTCACATACTTCATTGGTATTTCACATCGTTGTCACATACATTTTCACATATTTTTCGACA